AATCGTATATCCATATTGCAAATAATATAGAACAAATAATAATTAGAACAGGCGATGATAGCGATAGTGATACTGATATATTATGTGAATAATTTTAAGTAATTTAAGTAGGTAGTAAAAATAATGTAAATCTAAATGTAATGTAATGTAAATGTAAAATGTAAATGTAAAATATGTAATTTTATTTGAGATATACACATAAATACATACATAAATAAATAAATATTGTTTAGTATTTTTCCTAACAAAACAACAAATAATTTAATTCTAAGCAAAGTACGAAACTGTTCGGCCATATTTCATTCTTACAGCTTGCCCGGGTCTTTCCTTAATTCGTATCAGTTAGTCACTTTCTTATATCTATGAACAGACAATCATTATTTATTTGCGGGGACTTTTCGTTGAAGTAATAAAAATTAAATATTGATTTCAAGCAATGTAATAGTGTATTATGCAACAAGTGCGGTAAACGGCATTTGACGCACGAGTTTAGTTGACACGAGCGGAGGGCATCGGAGCGAGTGTTTAATACAGGAGTGAGTTAAAAATTTTGCCGAACATCTTGCATATTATACTTTTTCTACTACTGTTAGTTTTTGGATACATTTTCGCAAAACAACACAAATGCATCCACTGACATGACCGTCAGAATTGACAAACGTTAAAATTCAAAGCGAAAATATCCGATTGCTCCCAAACCCGTGCGGTAAAATCCCGAAAATGTCCGAAGTGGATCGGATTCGTGGGAAACGAAAGTGACGTGGTAAAGTGACGCTTCCCGCACGCTAGACCGGTGTGTAATTAGGTATTTTACAGACGGGAGTAGAAAAAAAATAATTTACATTATAAGGAAGGAGCAACAATAATGTAGCGAAAGCCGAAGTTTTGGCAAAATTAAATTTGTTATTTTCAGGTTGGTATCTACGCGTAGCTACTTGTCGGTTCTCGACTCATTTGGATCGGCCACCACTGAATTAGGAAACTTTTGTATTGCCTATTAAAAATATATTCTTTATAGAAAGTTGTGGTTCATGATAGTCTAAAACCTACAATATGCAGAGACATTAATTATCAAGAGCAAGAGCAATGTGGGTGTAACCTTAGTAATTGTGTGAGCTTCTGCAATGGTAAAGGGTTGTAATTTTATCCCATATTTTCTTACTATCTCTCTTTTTCTATCTGAGTAGATGTCTAAAATAACCCATAATTTAAATTTATTTTCTTCAATAGAAACAAACCTTTACTTGAATAACAACGGGTCCCTTAGATTCAGCTATATTAGGTCTCCACTTTTTAAGTTTGAGGAATCTATTACATATTAAATAATTTAATTTCTACATACCTTGAAGCACCAGACAAAAATATTCCCTTCCCCATTCGGACAATAATTTATCTATTATCCACATTCACAACAAGCCTATAACATGGCGATATGCGCCCGGCAACGTGTTAGCTCCTATTCCCGCCGGAATGTTCAAAAAAGCCGCTTGCTGCCGTCAAAAAGGTTATGCTTCCGGGAGCCAGAGATTTACTGACAGCAAATAAATTTTAATAAATGAATTAATTAATTTAATATTCGCTTTATTCCAAGCAATAATTTTTGTATTGCTATTATCTTGATCCGGGTTTAAAGGCCGTCGTCGGTTGGAATTACTTCCTAACGTTTCGCTAGCACAAGTGGCGAGCTTCTTCAGAGGTCCTTCCATCTCCGATGTTGCACGTAGACTGACGATTTCTCCTGCGCAGGTTATATTTATGCCGTTTGGTGGTGGGCAGGGCTTGTTCCGCTTCGGTTGGTCTCGGGATATCGATCGGTACTGCTCGGGCGTTCCTAAGGATCGGGTTCCAGATTTGGTTGAGTCTAAGGGTCTCCTCCTTTCGGTTGAAATTGTGTGGGTGTTTTTGAATCTCAATGGCTTCCCTGACTAGTCTGTTGTGATAGCCGTTGACCGATGCTAGTAACTTACAGTTCTCAAAGTGTATCCTGTGTTCCCCGCTGCCCAGTGCGTGTTCAGCCACTGCAGACTTCTCTGTATGTCCTAGCCTGCAGCTTGCTTTATGCTCCTTAAGTCTCGTTCCCATTGATCTCTTGGTAGTTCCGATGTAGACCTTTCCGCATGAACACGGAATGCGGTAGACTCCCGCAGCTGAAAGTGAGCCCCTCTTGTCCTTCGCTGACGTGATGGTCTGCTGGATCTTCTTTGTAGGCTTAAAGATTGTTTTGATGTCGTGTCTTTTCAATACTTTGCCAATCCTGTCGGTGACACTCGGAATATACGGCAGATATGCGTGGAAGCCTCCAAGGTCGTTGTTCGGTATCCCGTGATCTTGATGATCTTGAGTTCATTGATCTCTCGATCTCCCTCTTGCTGTAGCCATTTGCCTCGAACGTAGTTTTCAGGTGTTCAAGTTCCATCTGGAGGTTCTTCGGTTCGCAAATCCTTCGGGCTCGTTCTGTCAGGGTTCTGATAACCCCATACTTTTGACTTGGGTGATGGTTGGATAGAGCATGCAGGTATCTGTCCGTATGGGTTGGTTTTCTGTACACTGTGTGGCCCAGCTTGTTACCTCGCTTCCTCACTAGTACGTCTAAGTCGGTGGAGTCCTTGATGTAACTGGTGACGTGTCCTACGTGTGGTTGGGTATCTTATGTAGTCCATAGAGCCTTGGTGGAACAGTCTCTGTCCTCACAATGCGCTTCTTGATTTCTTCTGACAGTGATGATGACTTGATAAGCCGGTGGGTAAGACGTAGTCGGATTTTCTTTGAGGGGTTTGTAGCTTTCCGGGTTCAAGCGTTCCTCAATCTTCCTTTCGTAGTCCTCGGTATTCAGAAGAACGGTTGCGTTTCCTTTGTCCACTGGGAGTATGATGATACCCTCATCCGTGTTCAGGCTACGCAGTGCCAGTCCTTCACTTCTCGTCAGGTTAGTCTTGGGTGGTTTTGCCTTCCTGAGGATGTTGGCTGTCTCGATTCGTATCTCTTCGGCATCTTGGTCCTTTAGGTTCTTGATGGCTGCTTCCGTGCTGGAGATGATCTCTTCAATCGGAATTTGACGGGGAATGATTGCGAAGTTCCCTCCTTTGGTTAGCATTGTTCTCTCGACCTCCGTGAGTACTCTGTCCGTCATATTGACCACGAGTCGCTCACTGTCTAGGCTTGCTGTTTTGGGCGCTTGTTTTTTCGCAAACTTCTCGTACTTCCTTATGTGTTGCTCCTTTGTGCTGTGCAGTTCGTTCCTCATGTTGGAGTGTGAGATGGCATCCATTCTGTCCCAATTCTGTTGTTCGATGATTGGCAAAGTATTGAAAAGACATGACATCAAAACAATCTTTAAGCCTACAAAGAAGATCTAGCAGACCATAAGGTCAGCGAAGGAGGTCAGCTGCAGGAGTCTACCGCATTCCGTGTTCATACGCAAAGGTCTACATCGGAACTACCAAGAGATCAATGGGAACGAAACTTAAGGAGCCTAAAGCAAGCTGCAGGCTAGGACAGACAGAGAAGTCTGCAGTAGCTGAACACGCACTGGGCAGCGGGGAACACAGGATATACTTTGAGAGCTGTAAGTTACTAGCATCGGTCAACGACTATCACAACAGACTAGTCAAGGGAGCCATTGAGATACAAAAACACCCACACAATTTCAAGAGAAAGGAGGAGACCCTTAGACTCAACTAAATCTGGAACCCGATCCTTAGGAACGCCCGAGCAGTACCGATCGATATCCCGAGACCAACCGAAGCGGAACAAACCCCGCCCACCACCAAACGGCATAAATATAACCTGCGCAGGAGAAATCGTCAGTCTACGTCCAACATCGGAGATGGAAGGACCTCTGAAGAAGCTCGCCACTCGTCCTAGCGAAACGTTAGGAAGTAATTCCAACCGACGACGGCCTTTAAACCCAAATTAAGATAATAGCTTATCAACGGGTCGCGAAAGCCTTAACCAATTTATCAAATTTTGTATTATTTAATTCATGGAATAAATTATATAATATATATTTTGTTAATGTCGGTTTGTAAAAAAACTTCAGCAAAACTTTATTGGCGCAATAAGAATATAATTTACAAAATTGCGGATTGTTGAATTAAATATTTTAGTTACGACAATTAAGGTAAGAATTTAATCAATTTTGTCTCAACAAAAGCTTATTTACTATGACCATAATTTTATTGTTGTAATTTTTTCCTAAGTTTTCTGAGATCTTGGCGAAACGTCCGCAGGATTCCAGTCGGAGTTCAACAAACGAAAGGATGATATCCCGGAGTATAGTGTCATCACATTTTTCCATCCATTCAATAGGTTATCAAATATAAAAGATGAAATGACTCTTGCATCTACAGGTCATATTTGTCTTCAGAATGTCCAATTGTTGCAGTTTCCTTATCGAAAACTCCTTTATTATTCGAGATACAAAGACGTCGTTTGGACACTACTTTTTGGGACTTGAAGACGGTAAAATCAGATTTAGAATAGCACCTGTAGTTTGTGACCTACTAGAAGTAATTTTCAATTGGTGATTTTAAAAATTTTCAAATTCCTCGAAAATATGGAAGATATTCTGATTTTGGAAACACGTTTTCGTTTATTAATTCAAAGCGTTATTTTTATAGAACCACCGTTAGACTCAAGACGGATCTAAAATTTCTTCTGCATCATTTGTATCCATCTTAAATGCTTTCAATGATGTTCCAATTTAAATCTTATATTTACTAACAAAAAACTGTCTCGTCCTGTTATGCTTTTTATTATTTTGTTATGTGATAATGCAAATTTTAAAATAGCCAATTTTCGCTCCTCGCTATTTTTATGACTCAAATCGTATGGCAGCATGTTAAATGATATCGGAGTTCTCCAAATTGGACGCCCAGTATTAACTAACACACTAAACACCATAACTAACGAAAAAATTAACCAAAACGAACCAAATTTCAAAATGTTCTACACCTCAAAGGCACTTGGTTTTGATTTAATTCATTTTTTTCTTCTTTCAGCCTTGTCCTGATTCATCCATTGAGTTCCGAGAAGAGCAGTGCGCGAAATTCAACCCCGTCCCCTACGAAGAGGCGTTTTATGAATGGCGGCCGTTCTACGACGAGGACGAACCCTGCTCGTTGACATGCAAGGGCAAACCCAGAGGAGCCGACGACGACGACGCTATTTTGATCGTCGCCAGGCTGAAGGACAAAGTGCACGACGGCACCAGGTGTAGGCCAGGCAGTCTCGACATGTGCATCGATGGAAAATGTCAGGTGAGGGTCGTTTTTTCATACACGTTACAAAGTGGCGGGAATAGGAATAGTTTGCAATGGAGAAAACGTTTTATTATAGACTTAAACAATATACGATTTTTTGGAAAATATCGACTTTGTGGAGGGACCTTGGTGACCTTAGAGGATGGTGAATTGGTCTGCGGGATTTTTCCAGACATTTTCAAGGCCTTAGACTATTTGGCACACATCGATTGTTGTGCTTGAAGCCCTATTTGTAACGCAGAACTCAAGCGGTTACTAAAACTTCCTCTTGGACTCGGTGTGCAGCAAGATAGCATTCTTGAGCCCTTTCTTTTAATCATTTATTTACGTTACCCCCAATTTACTCTTTTAAACGAAAAGTTAGTCGTTATCAATTAACCTGGCAATTTCAGTATATAAACAAGAAGCCGCGAAGTACTCAATCTAATCAGTCTGTCAGACCAGCAACTCATTGTTATTATAAATTAGTTACAGAAAAGTTTCCTGATTCCCAATACCTTTCTTTTATAAAACTGCAAAAAATGTAGAAGAAATCCCCGAAAAAATTAAAATACATAAAACTGAAACCATCTAAATCTGAAGTCGTGGTAATGTATGATTCATTGCTACGTGCACGGATTAGAGACATGGATGATGAACCAGCTGAAGACATTCGAAATGTGGCTTCACAAAAGATAACGTCCTGCAGAGAGCAAACACCGAAAGGGGCCAAAGAAATATCTCGGACAGCACAGGCAGATGAACTTTTTCGTTTGGCGGGAGATCGCCATGGCGATCGCCAACGTTAAAAAAACCAGACAGGACACATGAAAGAAGAAGAATAGTGAAATCAATAAGTGCTCTTATATCTCACTGAGAAAAATGATGATTATTGTGCTGTAGTTTTTTTTAATATTCTGCCTAAAAATATAAAATGTCCTCCGAAGCAATTCGGGTCTGCTCTTTTTGAATACATTCACTACATCTAACCCTGATTTTCAATCAGCACTTTTTATAACTTAAATTTTAAGTAAGTATAGTTAGCGTATTACCGTTTTGGTATGTCGTCACGCTGGTTTGGACTAAGATATTTCTTATATTATTTATATAAACGCCACCACAATTGGTCAACAAGGACTTTATGACTTCAAAAACTAAAATTTTCTTGCAAATCAGATCACAAGGCTTTACTAATATAAGTTCTTTAATCTTTGATCTATTCCTTGCTTGCAATGTAATATATTGACACCAGTTTGCCCATTTTTATCAAAATTGTTTTAATTTTCAGTTACGCACAATACTGAAAATAAATAACTTTAAACAAAAATAAAAAACTACTCTCCTTCATTATCGTCAGGATCAAAATTAAATTATAAAACATCTTTATCGTCAGTGTTGTCGTATTCGTCGGTACTAATTGTCTTCCAAGCTTCTTGAATTAACCTTTCTGTATGGTTGACATAATTTTTCCAGAATTTTTAACGGCTTTTTCCCACAGCGCCAAAATGTCTGAAATGTCCGTATTTCCTCTTACACTCAGACCATCCTATTATTATTATTATTATTATTATTATTATTATTAGTCTTACAATATTGTGATCTGAAGGTTTCACATTTTCGTCTAGGTAGAATATTTTTTAATTGTTACAATTTTTTCTACAATGCTCCATATTTCACCCTTCATCAACGTTCTTTTCGTTTTACCATCCAATCAAAACCTCTGCTTTATACATCATTTTCTTGGATTATCCTCTAAAATGCTGGAATCAGCGTGATCCATCACTATCACACTTTTTGGAAGAATATTTGGCACCACCTGCTTTTTAAACCAATTTTCTTTCTTATATTGAAATGACAATCTCTGCCTTTTAGTACCCTATTAAATATTAAATTATTAACCTTTAATAAATCCTTCCTTTGACAAAGCGTACACTACAATATATCGATGATCTTCACTAGCTTTTTTAGAACTTGTACACGTAGTGTTATCCTGCCAGCTGCTTCTACACGAACATTTACTAAAAACCCAAGTCTCATCAATAAATACAGTAGTATAAGGCATTTCCTAAAGTTTGATTTTTGATATATTGCCTCAAGAAATTCGTTCTCTTGTGGACGATGTGAGATAAATCCATCAGGTATTTTTTATTATTTGATTTCTTCCACTTAATGCTTTTTTCGTAATTTTTTTCCGAGTTGATAGAAAAATTAAAATTTTCATTTGTCTCTTAATTTTTTAAGCAATCTGCATGGTCACATTAACTCTTTAAGTAATCTTTTTGCTTTTGAGACATTATGGAGGTAAAGGGTTAATATTTATTATTCTTGTGTTGCAAGCTTGTTCAATTAAATTATCAATTAGCGGAATGATTCCATTAGCTTGATCTTTTTCTAATTGTTTATAGTTTATAGTGTCACAAACAAATTAATGTCAATTTTAACAAATATATTCTGAAAAACACATAACCAACCGACATTGAATGTTATAAAGAACGACAATGTTTTTTTTTTAATTATTTTTGCCTCTGTCAGTTGACATACTTGTGTTTATGCATTTCAAGCTTTGTAAATATGTTTATGTTTAAGTATGTTGGACCACATTGTATATTTATCCCAAAGTCGATCGAAATACGATCCCTTTTCCCCCCTTTGGGGGTAGGAGAGTCCGATTAAATACGGAAATATTCTATAGGTAAACCGTGTGAAATCAAACGCATGAAATAAATTACCTCTGCTCGAACAAATTCACACCTCGCCTCAGTTCCACGACTTCTTAATCTTAACAAAATGTCTGGAAGGATTTACGCGATTCGAAAATTCCGGGTAGGTAAATCTCGCGTCCCAGAGAAAATTATTCACAGACACCAACTTTGGGGAACATTAGAGAACGGCTTTTATATTTAAAATCTTCGATTTTTTGTACAGTATTCGTTATTTTTGCCGTTTTCCTTGGGCAGAATTGTCGAAATTACATGCGATTGATCATTTTTGCGATGTGGTTATACGCGGGCAACGTATATTTGATTGATTGCGGTGATACGGTGTTCCGGGAATGGTCTTTGAATGTGTGTGACATGCAGACGAATGAATGTTGCGGTCCAATTTTAAAATTGGACATTTGAAACATGATTCTTTTATGTTTACGTTACTGGGGAGAGCCAAAAAGAAAATTTCCTCGCTACATTAACATTTGCAATTTGCCTGTTCAAATGTTGCTACTAGAAGCGAATGACGGCGAAACCTCCATGGCGAATTAAAAAAATGAGATTTCTGCAAAATTTTGTCTCACGGAGAGGGATTATAATTTAATTAATTGTAGGGGACTTGGGACTTGGGTAAAAGACAAAACTTTAAAATTTTACACTTTTTATAAAACTTCTGGATTCCTCCTGCGTCGGTTTTCGTGGAGTCGAACTAGCTAACGTTTCGCCAATCATCCTGTTGGCTTCTTCAGAGCTCGACTCAACAAAAACTGACGCATTAGCAATCCAGAAGTTTTATAAAAAAGTATAACAGTACCTGTGGAAGTTTCTTTGAAAAATGTAAAATTTCACTGCAAACTGCAAATGTCTAAAATTCAAGATGGTGGAAACAATAGGTTGAATTTTTATTTTTTAGCTAAAAATTGTGATTAATTACATTTTTTACATTTCATTTTTTAATAACTGTTTGTCTCAGAAAAATATTAATTGAAACTAACCAATCCTAACCATTGTAAAAAAAACTAGTCCCAAAAATAATGCAAAAATTAACATTAATATAACAAAATAAAAACCAAGTGAGTTGATATTCAATCATCTATTTTATGTTAAGTACATACAGGGTGTCCAAATTGTGTGTCAAGATAATATATTTCATTTATTATTTGTTTTAGAAACCAAACTTTGACGATTGCATTACTACCCTTGCATTGCATTGCTACCCTTTTATACTACATTGGGTGATTCAATGTAGGCATGCTATGGTATATGTTGATTGTTCTCGGATTTATGGCCATTTTTTCGCTAAAAATGCCCTATTTTTAACACTCTTATAAAGTAGTATAGTTATAGTTTATCTTATACTTAGTTAGTTCTAATCGTGAGTAAAAATGAAAAATATTAATTTTCGTGAAAAAATAAAATGGAACACCCTGTATATTATATTTCCCTTAATTGCTTCTATTAATTTTCTTTCAAATTTATTAAGCACTGCCTATACCTAAACTTAGTGTTTTTTGAGGTATACCATTTTTACGAAAAACTTGTAAAATTATGGCAAAATATCGCAATAAACCAAGAAAAAATAAATAAATAAATAAATAGGTACAATTTTAATTTAAAAAAAATGTTTCTTTTTTCTTTCCATTAATTTATAAATTCTGCCTTTCTTAAAGTCAATATATTATTAAACTACTGAATGTCAATATATTATATCTCATTTATTATTTGTTTTAGAGAAAAATATTAACTACAAAAGTTATAGAATTTTAACAAAAATCTATGGCCCTCCAAAAACTCTTGCAACAATCTCTTTAAAAGTAATCCTTCGAAAGTCAACTTTTTTTACGCCTACTGTTCTAGAGTCTTAGTTATAACTTACTACTGAACCTGAATGCTTTCTAAATTATCTTTCAGTCCCCTTTAATAATATATTACATGTTACATTATTTTTATCCCTTATTATTGACATATATCAACGATCCACTTAATTTGATAATACATTTTAATAAATTTGTTAATAGTCGAACATTTATCACAATCCTAAGAGAAGTTAGACTGATTACGCCTTTTTGCTTGCTATACTTAGTACAAACCATTCGTTTTTAAGTTTTTGGACGATTAGGACCAGAAGGGAACCAAAACTCTTTGCTGGTGGATGTAAAATCTCGCCTGGTATATTTTCTTACTAATATTAAAAACGTTGAAATGTTTGAACCTTTTCACTCATTCAGGAAACTTGTTCGTGCCATCACAATCAGTGATAGTTTTTAAATATGGTAGGAAGAAGACCACATTTACCTTTAAATATTAACTTTC